GCCAGGCTGTGATTCTGACATGAGAAAACATCGGTTGAGCCTTGCCAAGCAGTAGGTTTAGAACCATCTATATTCTTTGCCCTTCTGTGTTACCCTCTCTGCACCACTCAAATGTGCCTCAGTGACTCCCTCTGTACTCCCAGCTCCAGGGTCTTGTACCAGAAATTTCTCTGAATAGAGAAAGGAGGTATGACTTTTACTAGCCCTGGCTTCTCCTCTGCCTTTGAAGAATGTGTGTAGTGGAGAGCTTTGCAATACTTATTATCTACCTTCCTTTGAGTTCTATAATAATTCTAGTATTTCTGGCTTATGTGAGGTTTACCATTGGGTACAATAGCTTTCCCTTGGCATCTCAGGTATCACATAGAGCAGGTTTGATGAGGTGGACCTTCTGAATCCTTTGTTTTTATTTTTGCTCTGGGATTCCAGCCAAGAATCAACCCCGAGATGCTACAGATGTATCTAAGTGATACTAAAGAACTGGGTTCATTCCATGAACATTTTGGTTACAAAGTCCAACAAGCAGCCTTCAACTACAAGTCCAACCAAGTCTATTTTGATCTTTTTGTTCTAGGATGTGTTCCCCATGTCCAGTACCGGGTCAGGTGTATTCAGAATCATAACCTGTTCTTTGCAGTCTCTAGGTCCAGCCTCCTTCTTGCTCACTTCAATCATGACTCATGCTCCAAGAACAACATTGCATTTGCAGCTCCCAATTTCTATTTTTTTGCATTTGACCTTCCCTCACCTGGATGACTCCTTCAGAACCTGGTTCCTCTAAGAATACTACTTTGACCTTCTTCTTAGTCTGTTAGGTCCTTTTCAACAAGCCCTTGGCAATAAGAGCCATGGTTACATATTTCTTCTTGCAAGTGTTCTCTAGAATGGGGGACAAGGCTCTGCTCAGTCTTATGTCTCTGGAATTGTACCTGGTGCAATTGGTTACAGTCAGAGAACATTTGTGGAATGCATGAAGGAATGAACCAAGGTGTTTTCACTGCCTGTGCTGAGGTCTGGTGCTCACCATCCTTTGATCTTTACATTTCAACTGTGAACTTAAGGAGACAGTGCCTGATATGCGATAGCTGGGAGCTAGAGGGTTCTTCCAGAGTAGATGCCTGATCTTGGGCATCTCAGCAGGCTCAGAGGGTGCCTGATCTTGAGAAGGCTAAATATAGACCTCTTTTTGACTTGGAGAGAAAAAGAATTTCAGCTATTTGAAAAATAAAAGTCAGCCAATGTATTGGGTTCAAAGACTGGGAGTTCTGAATATGTTAATTATCTACCTTCCTTTGAGTTCTATAATATTGGCAAGAGAGATTTCTTGATCACAAGATAATCCTAGCTGTAGTGGTGGGCAGATTCTATCCAACTTCACTGCTAGGCTCTGGATTTATGAATCCATCCAGGAACTGGACATTCCCACATTTGTATGTCTCTGTGTGTTCCCAAGATAGCAAGCTGATAAAAACAACCAAACTTGCAGCTATACCTCCCAAATACTAGCAAAATTATGGAGAAAAACCTTGTTCTTTAAACTCCCCAATGAGGTTTGAAAAGCAATTGTTTTTTAATTTTCTAGTGAAAAGTCTGGGATACTTTGAAAGGCCATAAACCCAGTTATTTAGTGGATTACTTGGCTTAATGTGTATGCTCATTTGTTCAACCAGCATTTCCTAAGCATGCACGGGTTATTGGGTGCTATGTTTGGCAGTGACTACTTTGTTGGTAGATGATTCTTCATAGGTTTCGTATTTCACATAATAATGAGTGAGGCAGGATCTGCCCTTTGTTCTGAGCTTTCGTATCAAACATTTTCATATTTGAGTATAAAACAGTCTTGGAAGACAAAGATAGTGCTTTCTTCCAGAGCAAAGGGCAGGTAATATTTGTGGTGCATTATAATAGAATCTAGTTTTCTTAGTTCATGGTTTCTCTTTGGGAACTCAGCACCTCACGATGTGGGCAAGCGTTCTCTGGGACCATCCACATCACCCATGTGGGACTAAGGAGATCTGATGATGAGAGTATGCTAAAGTTCCATGCTGCTTTCTGAGTTGTTAGTCATAAAATTTTTGTCTCTGACCAAGGAGTCTTCTGTGTTCTGTCAGTAGCCACAAAACTATGTGGACTACTAATGTAACTTACCTGAAAGCAGGGTGAAATTCAGACCCTTTACAATTCTTGGCAAGCTTATATCCTTATTTAAACAAATATTCAGACAAATATTTAAAAATGTTTAAAATCCCTTATTTAAACAAATAATATATCCTTACTTAAACAAATATACCTTAAAATTCCAACATTTGACCTTCATATTGATGGGAAGACTGAGATGTTGGAGAAGTGCAGTGATTCTTCTGATGTCACAAGGCTAATAAGTGCTGGGGTTGAAATTCTTGTGCAGTTTTGACTGATCCTAGAGCTACTACTATCTTTCAGTCACATCATGTTGATGTGTCAAACATTAAAATCTGTGTATTGCTCTATTCCTGGCACTGGGCCAGTTAAAATCCTGTTGACGCTCACTCATCCCTGTTGCCATGAGGATGAAAATACTCAGGCAAGGAATGGAAAGCAATGGAGCAGTAAAAACAAGACAAAATCACCAGGAGTTCTTGCCACTAAAAAAAAGAAGAAGAAAAATTCTTCTCTAATGTTTATATAGTACTTGGCTCAGAGCCCTGATCTACTGCCCTTTCTTCTGGCTAACAGATGAGACCCGTTTCTCACCAGGCAGGATGAGTTGAGTCATGTGAAATCCAGACTAAACAATGGGAAGCAGGAGAGGTGGATGAGCTCCTGGGTGGGGAGGTCTCCTGTTCCCAGAGCAGGGTCCAAGGGTGCATCAGCCATGAGAAGTTCCCTTGTAAATTTCTACAGTGCCTTTTTATTTGTGCTGTTTAATTTGATCGTTGCTTTATCCTTATGATAGAAACTGACCTGTCCCTTCCTTATTGCCCACAGTACAAAGGCCTCATTTCTTCATTTGGTGCCCAAGACCCTCCATGGCTCAGTCCTTACACATGGCTCACCTGATCCAAAGCTCCTCCTGGGTCTAACCCATTCCCCAGGTAATACTGATCCCTTCCTCTTTCATTTTCAAATTTATCTGCACCAATTCATTTTCAGAATCTATAACACTTCAGGATTGTGCACATCTGCTTGTTTATCTTCTCTACTGAGTCTCAGAGGCCTTAAGGCGGAAACTATTATCTTCAGTTATGTAATCTACTTGCTAATAAATGTTTGTGGTTGCAGTTTCATTCTTCCTCCCCCCCCCTTTCTCTCTCTCATATTCTCTCTCTCTCTCTCTCTCTCACACACTCACATTATTGATCTGTCTCCAGGTCTGAAATTTCATCATTGAATATGGTCTCTGATTTCCATGGTTTGACTCAGGAGTTTTTGCCATTACTCTAGTGTGAAAGCATACCCATACAAATATTCTCTGTTTTTGCTTTCACTATAATATTCGCTAAACTATGGGATTTATTCAACATTTTATTATAAAATAAGCTTTATGTCAGATGACTCTGCCCAACAGTAATGGGTGAAATGTTAAGAGGTCTGAGAACATTTAAAATAGGATAGACTAAGCAATGCTGGTAGGTTAGGTGTACTGAGTGCCCTTTGACTTAGTGATATTTCAATGGATGGTGGATTAATTGGGACATATTTCCATCTTAAGGAACATCTTTACTCTTACTTTGGGGATGAGTACTTTCTAGAGGCATGAACCATCCAAGAAGAGATGGTACAGATGCTTTGACATGATGTCTCTTAGTGGATCATTTTCCTTTTGACAAGAGTCCCTTGTTAAAAGTCCTCAGCTAGCTACCTGAGGACTTCAGGTGTGGACAAAGAGTGACCAACCTGGCACACTTGTCCTCCTAACCATCCTACCAAGGCCAGAAAGGCCTACTATCCTTGTGGTCTCCTCTCGCCACACAGTGATCTTGCATCCCAGGCCAGCTCTCAGCAGGAACGGAAACAGAGGCACAGGAGAACAGGCTATCATGGGCCAGGGCCATCAGATAGCAGAGACCTGGCCTTGCCAATCTGACCCCAGCATCGGTGAGTCTTCCAGGATTCCCAGTTCCTGGAGCTGCTGCTGTGTTCTCTGAGGGGTTCTTGCTGACCCACTGTTGGGAGCCGGCGACCGCACCCTGAAAATGGCGCTGGCCTCCTGCTTCTGATGACTTAGCGGTAAGAGTTGTTAGAAGTAAACAACTCCTTGTAAGGCTGTGGGGCTGGGCTCTGGCCTGCTTCCGCTGCGCAGTACCTATTAGACTCCTCCACGTGGTGCTAGTTCATTGGCGAGGCTGGGTACTTAAGCTAGGGAAGACCGACCGCTCGCGCTCTTTCCTTTCTTGTTCCTGTTTTCTCATCATGATTCAAAGGTCCTGAGTAAACTGCTGAAAGAAGAATCCTGTGTCGTGTTTCCCTTGCCGGCCAGGGGTCGCGACAACCCACCACTTATTATGTGTGCCTCTGTATCCGCTGGTCCTATGTCCATGTACTCTCAAACACCGGAAGTGATGTCACAGCAGAAAGGGATGTTAGAAGTCATTTAGTTTAGTGTTTCCTAAACATGTTCCAAGGAACACTGGGTCCTGGCACTTGGTGTTTGTCCTAGGTCTTCTGTGAGGAAATGGGAATCTCTGGCCAAGGACATCTGGGACATGCTGCACTGACTGTTCTGTTCCTCTCCCTCAAGAGCCACAGTCGATGCTAGACCAGGAAAGATGCTGAGGCTTGGGCTGGTTTAATTTCATTTAATCATGTCATTTTCTAAACTGACTTGCACATGGACCGACACCCCTATTTGTCTCTATTATTTTATAATTATTTTGCCAGGCTGGTGTTGTGTAGATCACTCAGGGAAGTAGGAATACACAATAATCCTGCAGTTGGTTTCACTTTCTGCAGTTTCAGTTACCCCTGGTCAACTGGGGTCTGGGAATATCAAATGGAAGATTCCAGAAGTAAACAGTTCATAATTTTCAGTAATTTTATTATATAGTTGTACTATTTCACTATTAGTTATCCTTGTTAACTTTTTACCGTGTCTATAAATTAAGCTATTAGAGGCATGTGTATATATAAGAAAAAAAAAGAGTATATACAGGGTTCAGGACTATTTTTGGTTTCAGGCACCCACTCGGAATTTTGGAACATATCCTTCTCAAACAAAGGGTGGCTATGGGAGTCAAACCTACTACCTGAGAAAGCAGAGGGCCAGGGAGCTGAGGATGCACAGGGAAAGGTTTTGCATCTGACCAAGCTCCGGCCACCAACAGTTTCTCTGTGCTTTTCTCTCCTATGTCATTGCCAGGGCTACCAGCTCTGGGAATGGCTGATAGCCATTCCCAGCTGAGCTTGGATCCCCATCATCCTTCAAGGGAGATGAGGAGAACTGTTCTGCTGACTCAGGTGGAGATGATGTAGCCTCAATAAACGGAAGGGACTCCTGGCAGACCCTGGCACCCCAGGGTGCAGTCTTTAATCTTGGAGCTGCCATTGTCTTAGTGATTTGAGTTGTTGAGAATCTTATAAAAGGGATGATTAATGAATTCATTTTCTCAGTTACTCTTTTTAAACAATATTTCCTTCTCAGGAGGAGTTTAGAAGTGATGCAATAAGGAATTTTCATTAATAAACATATGCACACTATCCACTATAATAGTGGTAATGAAACACAGTGAATGCTAAGTACTTGACACATCTATTGCTGCCCTCAATGCTGTGAATCGGGTCACAGAGGTGCATTATTAGCAATATTTCCACTTGAAGTGGACCAAGGTCTCAAAAGCAGTAAAGGGGAGCTGGGACTTACACTCAGGGTGTGGACCTCTGCAGTCTATATTCCAACCACTGAGTGCCATCTTCAGTGTGATTATGGGGAGGATGGGGTTCACTCACAACTGTTGGAACAGGTCTATATTGCCTCCATACTGTGCATCAGAAAACCTACACTTCAGCCCGTGCCCTGACCACTTGTAACAATCTATCTCCAGAGGGATATTTAGCCCTTACGTTTGTTTCATGCAGTTGGTGCTGGTGTGGGAGAAAGATGCAGATCACTCTTCCTCCCACCTGTCTTGCCAGACTGGATAGTCCCAGCATAGCATGCACACAGTTTCTGTCAGAAAACACAAAATCACATCAGGAAAAAGCAAGCACTGGGTGTTTGTCATTCCCCAGACAATTTCCGTAGTGCTGTTTGACTCTGAATGCTTGATTACATTTCAAATTTATTTCCAATTGTTTTGAGCTGGATCAATGGGAGACAAAGGTACCTTTTAGCTCTGGCACCTGCTGTTCCCCTCAACCCAAATGTCAAGGACTGACATTTGATGCCATTATCTCCAGTCGGTGTATTGATGTCTCACTTCCTTGGGGCCCCAGCTCCCAGGCCCATCTACCACACTCACACCCTGAAGGACTTTCACATTGATAAGATGACATCCTGAATGTCCCAGGGAGACCTGTGTGTCCAGATTTGCTCTCTTCCTGCCAGAGCAAAAGCTGGCCTACTAGGGTGGCTGCTATGTCCCTGTGTCCCTGGAAGAGGTCTCTTTCAGCCTGCGTCCTCCCCCTTTCCTCCCTGGGGAGCCACCACGTGTTCGTAGGTATGAATCCTGGGAGGAGCCAGGTGCCCTGTGGAACAGTGATGGTGGTAAGTGGTAGATGCATTGGTTCTCCTGAAGTTGGAGGAGACATTCAGGGAGATGAGGTCTGATGTCCTTCAGATAAAGTACTCTTTCCTGCTGTTGTCATTGGCATCTTGGAGGGCGGGGTCGCTCTGCAGGGCTGCATCTGCGCTCTCAGCAAACTCTGTGCCCTTGGCCTCATTGGTGTGGTAGGTGCCCTTGTGCCGGTACAGGTAGCGAAGCATGACGAGGAGGAGGCAGACCAGGACTAAGGCCACAGCAGTGATCACAGCTGCAGGAGGGAGGAAATGCAGGGGTCAATGTGGAGCAGGTGCTCTAGGACCTGGAACAGAAGGTTAGGACCCACAGGGGTTGTGCCAGCAGGACAAACATGTTGCTCAACCAGCCACAACCCTGGGCTGGTGACTTCCATCCTGTGCTTCTTCCTGCCTGGAATAAGTCTTTCAGAATCCCTTCTCCCTTCTCCCCACTCTTGGGGTCCCCTCTACTGTGTTCCTTAGCTAGAGAAGTATCCCAGAATTGATTCCCGCTGGGACATGCTCATTGCCTACTGAGGAGACAGGTCTATAAGAGAATTATTACAAAAGAAGCCGTTTGCATAGTGCAAGTATGTGGGTTCGCTTAAGTGGAGGGGTTCGTGTGATGCAGAAGTTTTATCTCTTTAGACAATCCCAACCGAGGTGTTTCCTGGAGAATGGGACATTCTGTGGTACAATCAGGAAAACCCTGGAAAACTGGAAAGAGTTGGCTGCTCTCTGCACACTTGACAGGGAGAAAAACAATACAAGGGCTATTAACTGTGCCTAGGGATAGAGAGGTGGTAGGAGGTGTGCTGTCACCCCAGCCCCTGCCATTCACTTTTGGGAGTGAAGACACGCTGAATCTGGCAAGAGGAACTGGATCTGGCCATGTAGATGATGCCATGCCATAGTCAATGCCCAGGATTCGTGGGACTTGGGGATGCAGGGAAATAAGGCATGAGGTAGGTCAAGAAGGGTCAAATCACTCTGGGCCTGGGGAGTGATGGAGTGAGGGGTTAAGAGGTAAATCTGGGAAGCGGCTGAATGGCAAGCACTCTCGTGGGGGGTATTTCAAATTGGGCATTTGATTGGAAGCTACAGAAAAGCCTTTATCTTAGAATGCAGGTTTATCTGGAAGGTCTTGGGGAGGGGCTGTTGCAGGCCATGAGGCAGCTAAAACTTCCCAAGTCCCATCTTTATGGAAGAATTTCCAAAACTTCCTACTGTCTTCAGGGGGACACTTGTGTCTATTCTTAATAATGTTGTCTAGGAAAAAGAACGGCTCAGGGCACAATAAATGGGAGAATTGTATGTTAAGTAAAATCGAACAGGTGTCTTTGATGGCTTCCTCCTGCTTCTTTTTCTTTTAATCGTAGAGGTTTCCTGAGCTATTAATAAGTGTGAGCAGCGTGGGTCTTAAGGAAGAGAACAGAACATGTGCCACCTTCCAAATCTGGTTGTTCCTGAAATGCAGTTTGGGGTGACAGGTGTGACCAGTGAGGAGCCAGCTGCCCAGGGTTCAACCCGAGGTGAGGTAAGGGTCAGACCCAGAATCAGGGATATGGAGTGAGGTAGAGCCAGCCCCTATCAGTCCACAAGCCCCAACCCTATTCTGCCCAAGATGCTTCCTCTTTAGCCCAAGTCTCTCTGGGTCAATAGCCTGGACAGGAGGTTCATTTTGACATGTGTGCCCAGCACCCACCCCCTCCACCCCCCACCCCGCCCACCAACCTTGCCTACTGCACCAGGCACCATGCTAGGCATTTCTTATACACACTGAAGGAGGGAAAGCACTGACCATCCCTCCCCCTTCTCAAATCCTCAGTCCAGTTCTCCCCTGGATCTTTGCTGGTTTCCAAAAGGGTCCCTGGCAAGTTACTAACCTGCAATGATGGCAATGTCCATTGTGGCATAGGACGTCCCTGGATCAAGCTCTGTGGACGAAAGATAAGAACCTGAGGTGAGAGAGGAAGAAGGCTCTTTGGACACAGCAGCACCTCAGCCCCAGGATGTACCCTCTGCACCACTGTGAGCAGCTCTGTGAATGGAGCTGGCATGGCATGCTGGGTGCACAGACCTGTCTCCAGGGTGTAGAGACCTAGACCCCAGGCTCGGCTTGTTCATTAATCAGGCTGGAAAACACTTGCAAATCATCAGGTCACACAAGGATGGTCCAAGCCCCCTGCTGTATCTCAGCACCAAGGCGAGCACCTGTACCTGGTAGAAGCTCAGTTGCCATCTGTGGTGTGTATATGGCGTGCAGGACTGTGTTGAACACTGGCCATTGGTGGTGCATCCATACAGACCAGGTGTTGCCTTAGCTGCCACCATCTACTCTCTCCTGTGGTCTTACACAATCCTGTTAACTTCGTGGTGTTAATCAGCACACTTTACATGTAGAACACTGAGGCTCAGAGATGTGATGAGCCTGTGGTCCTGCAGATCACCCAGTGACTGACCCGGAGTTCACTGTTCCTCTTGTCTTTGAGGTCTACTTTCTCTTTCTTTCTTTCACAAGCCTCTCACTGAGACCTCTCCCTAGGTTTCTGCATCAACTCTCCTGGGGGAAGGGCTGCCCTGTGGCACTAAGTTACTGACAGTTTTTCTGAAGTTCACTGATCTAGTCAGAGGGTGAGGATCCCAGGGAGAGAGGGAACTTCGCAAAACTTCGAGATACTGCATACAATGCTTCCTCTCCTCTGGGAGATGAGTGAGAAGAAGGATTTATTAGACCACAGAAATACCAGTGTTAACACGGAAATCCCATGTTCCCATTACAGCAGCTATGCATATTAAAACAGGGAAGGATGCTTTCTAATAGCCATTTCCACTCAGATAATCACTTCAATTATAGAGCTATGAGGTCATTCTCCCCAGGGCAAGTGCCAGATGCTTCTTTCTGATAAGAAACTGACTGGTGGTGTCAGGGGGGACAGTGGGTGAGGGAGAAACTGTTTCCTAGCTGAAGGCCCAGAGCAAGAGGAAGGAGAGCCAGGCTAAGGGGTCTGGTGCCAGCACAGAGCTCAGAGGTGGGGAGGACAATAAAACCATGTATCAAGGTGATACAGAGACACAGTGGACACCCACCTGGAGGCTGGGAAGACTGGACCAGGCAGGGAAGATAGCTCAGTTTTCAAGACTTAAGAAGTAGCAAGTTCATAGTGATGCTAGATTCTGGGATCCAACTGGGACAAGTACAGCCTGAGATTCAGTACCTAGCTCATAGTAGGTACTCAATAAATATTCACTGAGGGCATAGATAAAGGGATGTCCACATGAGTGAATGGGGGTGCAGAGGCTAGCATCCTAGACCTTTATCAATCACCCAGCACCTCACTGGCAGTAAGAAAGAACAGCACCTTGCTTATGGTACATGCATAGATCATCCGTATGAATGTTTATGGAAGCTCAAATACCCAGAATTGTCCTGAGGAATTTTCCAGGTGAAGACCAGCCTTCTTATATCACTCAGTATAACGCTGCCAGGGTTAGAAAGGACTTTTTATTCTTTTTAAAGAAAAATTAACAATTGCTTACCATGAGCAAGCATTTAACACATTTTAACTCCGTCCCACAACAGTCCCGTTTGGTAGGAGTTATTATTATTCCCACTTTACAGATTAGGAAACTGAGTCCCAGAAAGGGGTTATGTTTTCTCTGGGTCATTTGTCATTACCATGAGAGTCAGGAGGCAGTCAGTCCACGCCCAGGCAGTGTGGAGTCAGAGTATAACCCTGCAGGGCACCGCCCAGGGCAGAGCCTTGGCAAGATGGTTTCCAGAGGAGGCATTTGATCTAATTCAGGTGGGGTTCATTTTGTGGCTTGTGTTTAAGACCTGTACCCAAATTTATCTGCTTAGACACTAGTGCACTTTCAGCACACCTATCCCATGATTCTCAGTTGTGAGAGGGCCAATTTTTTTTAAGACCCCAAGTATTCTGCATTTTTCATCCATGGCTCTCCTCAAGGTTGCAACATTTCCACCAGACAGTAAGCTCCACAAGTCCAGACATCATATTTGTCCTGCCCAGAGTTCTATGTCCAACATCAGGCTGGGTGCCTGGCACTGAACCATAATTGGTGAATATTTGAAAGTGTGATTCCTCACTTTATACATTGTTGGTGTAATTGCAAATTAGTACAACTGCTACGGAAATCAATATGGTAATTCCTTAAAAGAGTAGGAATGGAAACACTATATGACCTGGATATACCATTCCTCACTATTAATGCAAAAGAATTAGAATCAGCATACTATAGTATTACATGCATACCCCTAGTTACAGCAGCACACCAGCCCAGGTGCCCTTAAATAGATGAATGGATTAAAAAAAAAGAGGTATGTATACACAATGGGAATTTACTCAACCATTAAAAAAGAATGAAATTATGTCCTTTGCTGTTAGATGAATGGAACTGGAGAATATCATGCTATGTGAAATAAGCCAGACTCAGAAAGTTCAGGGTTGCATGTTTTCTTTCATATGTGGAAACTAGAGAAAAAAAAATGAATAAAAATGGGATCTCATGAAAATGAAGAGGAGAGGAAGTGACTCAGCAGAGTAGAGGAAGTGGATTAGGAGAAGCGGGGAGGAAGGGAAAGCTGGTACTGGGGAATGAAGTCTACCAAATTACGTTCTATGCATGTACAACTATGTCACCGTGAAAGACATTTCTGTGTATAACTACAATGCACCAATTAAGAAACAAAGCTAAATTTCTTCCAAGGAACCAGAATCAACTAAACTGCACCCTTTACTCTCCACATCTTTGTGAAGCTGAGAATGGTCATTTTTCTCTCCCATGGAATCTGCCATTGGCTGCAGCCAAATTCCTGCTGATCCCACACATCCTCAACAGGGTTAGCTGCACCTGGTCTGGTTAAAGGTACCCCTCCCTGGGAGGCAGCAGGGCACACACATGCAATGCAGTAGGTGCTCTCTACGTTAGCTGGCAGCTAACAAAGTACAGGACTCAAGTCGCAGCTGGATCCCTGGGGGCCAGTGGTGTTTCTCAGATGTTGATGGAGAACAGGGTCTGACACTGGCCCTGGAAAGGAAAGTCATGCTCATCTGATGCTACCATGAACCTTCCTTCTCTTCTGCTTTCAGATGATGCGATGCTGGTGTTTGAGTCTGTTTTCATTCCTATAACTGAATATGATAGTTTGTGTAATTTATGAAAAATAAGAGACTTATTTAGCTCAGGGTTCTAGAGGCTGGAAAGTCCAAAAGCATGGTGCTGGCACATGGTGAAGGCCTTCTTGCTGATCATAACATGGCAGAGGACACCACAGGGTGAGACAGAGCAAGGGTTCTGGAGAGGGCTCAGTTTTGTAACAATGCCAGTCCCTCATTGATCCACCAATCAGTTAATCAATGAATGGATCACTTTACTAATGAGGACAGGCTTTTATGACCTATTCACCTTCCAAATGTTCTACCTCCAAATACTATTAACCGGTCTGACCCTGTCAGCTCTGGGGATTAACTTTCCAACACATGGAATTTGGGGAACAAACATTTAAACATGGCATCTAGGAAACTCTTCTTGCAAAGGGTTGTTTCTATATTGCCACCAGAGGGAAGAGGCACGGTGGTGAGAGGACCTGGATGGAAGGGCTGTGGGTGGTGGAGTGACAGGTGGGGCTTCTGGGTGGAGGAGGATGGTCTTCTTCAATAGGAACCCGACTGCTGTGATGACTGGTCACCGTGTCAGAGGCCGGGCTCCAAGCAGCCTTATTTTAAACACTAAGCCCAATCTATCTTAGTTGAGTTATAAGATGTAAGTAGGAGGAAGAATGCTTCGGCCAGAAAATAAAAATGGAATCACCCTCTCCTTAGTCCAGGATGGTGATACCAAGGGAAATCAGGAAGAAACTTTATAAAGTGCTAACTGAGCAAAATGAAGTCCTCACTGTTCACATGAGGGTCCTCCTCTGGGCGGGAGGGGTGGTGGGGGGGTGGTGGTGGTGGTGGTAACCTGTCAACTTTGGTTTGGGTGGATTTTGTGGTTTATTAAGGAGGTAGCAAATATCCTCTCTTTTGGCAGAAGAGTGAAGGAAAGGAGAAACATTGTCCACCCCATCTGTGGCAAATACACCCTGCCTAGGATTTCTAGGAAAATCAAATTTAAAACAGGAAGAGAGAGAGAGGAGATTCCAGCCAGGCTTCCTCCTCTGGCTCAGGGGAGGATCCCCAGTGAATGGGAAGCTGCCTGGGGCTTAGTCAACATCCTGCTGCTTGGGATGGGGGAGGGGGTGGTAGATATCAATCTGCAACTGAAGGAGCTCAGATTCTTCTCTTTGAAGGAAGAGAAACATCTACCTTAAAATGGTTGACAGTTGATGTGGCTTTAGCACAAGGGGCCAGGAGACTCAGTTATTTAACTTCAAATTTGCATTTGTCTTTTTATCAAGCTGACTAATCATCACAGAGAAAAGAGAACAAAGCCATTCAGAGGGAACTGAGCCTGAGGGCACTGGAGAAGCAGGGGACCAGGTCACCAGAAAGTGAGACACCATTCAGGTCCAGGCTCTGGGGGAGTCACGCCTCCTGGATACAATCACTCAGAGACCCTGTGGGTTGGTCTTGCATCCTCTATAGAGAATTTATGTCTTCAAACACTCACTCCTCTTCCCTGTACATTCTCCTTGAACTTGCTTCAGCACCTCTCCAAGAGGACAGAACCTTAAGATGAGCTGTTTTGTTACCAGTCTGGGTCTTTTTGTCTCCATGCATGTGAAGTAGGATAGAAGAAATAAAGGTAGGTAGAAAGGGAACGAAAGGAAAGGAAAAAAAAAAAAGAGACTATAGTTGTAAATGTAAAACCCTCATGATCTTCTCTTTTATCCTCCAGGTCTGACATCCTCAAATTTCTGAGAAATCTGCAGATCTTAGAATTAGTGAAAATTCACTCCTCTATAAAAATGGCC